GATGTTTTTCTGCGTGCAGTTTGTTTTGTGCGATACAATTTCTCCTTCTCAAGTGAAGTGTTTTAATTCTAAAGCTATTGCGTGGCACGTTTGTCGGTATAAGTGACATTATTTCGAGAAAACCTCCCAAACTATGATGTCTCTAATTGAAAATTCGTTTCCGATTATAGGTGTTTGGAGAAAGATTCGGAAATCCCGTCGTAATAAGAATCGGTGATCCATGTCTATTCCGATGCCGTGACATCGCTCTCGCAAAGATTAGAGATCCCGGGACGAGCGATATAAAAAGCCTCGCGACTCTTTCTGCTTCCATTGGCGGCAGGAAGAAAAAAGGAATGAAGAAGTTCCGTGGGAGCGAGGTGATCGAGGGACTAAACGGGGGGTATCTGCTCCCAACAGGCAGCAAGCACTGCTTTCTCAGCCGTAATATTGGAAGTTTACGAGGTTTGCCGTAATCGAATCTCGTTATACGGCCACGGAGGGCCTTTGGCAATCTGCTCCGAGGGTCGGCGCGACGCCGACGTCGTACCGCGGAAATGCGAGTCTTACTATAAGCGACGAACGATGTAGTTCGACGACATTTCGAACTGAATCGTCGGTTCTGTTAAAAAAAAGAAATATCTCTTTCTCTCTTCCTCTTTTTCTGTTTTGTAAGATCCTGGCAAAAACCTTGTTGTTGAAACAACAGGTCTCCTGTACTTTCTTTTTTCGACTAAACCGCGATTAGATTGTACCTGACATTCGCATGACAAAGTGATTAAAAGTGCAATATGTTCTGCGTCTCGCTCGTATCGTGATCGTATCGCACCTAATGTGCCCGCGCGGTTAAATAGAAACTGATTCTTGAATTTCGATCACATGAACACAGCGAGAGTGTTTGCGCCTGTAAGTTTCGAGGAGAAATAATGAGCGGAACGCACGGTGGTTACATTACCCTCGCCTTGTGCCAGCTAATTAGTTTACGCGCACATCAAGGAACTAATTACGCGTCCCGAATGGACTTTCGTTTACGATCAATTTCCACCGCGAAGTGCAATGACCGTTGGCGATACGTACAAGCGGGAACATCTCGAAAGTATAATTACCAGATAGTTACGCATCCCTGCGTCGGTTTCTTCACGAGTTGATCGAGATAGACAGACAGATAGATATGTCTGGCGACATTCGTTGGCAATTTTCAACATTGTCGAATCATTAATGTGACACGTGTACCGTGAAGTCTTTCTTTCTTTTAAATATCGCGAATAGAACATTTGTAGAAGTAATTTTTTTTTTTCTTTTCGTTGCGTCGTAGATATCTGCACGAGCAAAAGCGCGAATTCAGGGTACGTGAGAACTCACGCGGTCTAGGAAATTAAAAAGCGCCGGAGAAGTTATTGGCGCGCCGCAACGGATTAATTAGGCTCGCTGCGGTCGTCGAAAGTTTCACCCATTATCGTCGGCAAAGGGCTTGCATAGCTGGTTTTTCGACGTGATATTAATGGAAAATAATGTACACGCCGCGCAATCCTTCCCCTCCCCTCCTTCCCGCGAAGTAGGGAGGAGGCGAGAAACTGGTTGCCCGGTCATATATTATACATTATGCGGGAACCGAAAGATGAAAGTCTATGGCTATGCGATATGTCGTGTATATGAGTTTATAAACAATACAAGCAGAAATCGCGCGCCTAAGGAATGTTCATCACGGCAACTACGCGAGATAACGGTTTTCACACGTTTGACGGCTTTATGCACAATAAGTTAATGATATCAATCATTTCGCGTTCCTCCTCGCTTTCTCTCTCTCTTTCTCTTTTCCCTTTACATTTTAGCAATTTACATGGCAATAAACTCTCTGTTAAGCGGGCACTTGCAGTACAAAAAACTATATATCGTTATAGTTTCCATTACGATTTTTTGGGGGGGTAACAAAAGTAATAAATGAATAAATTGCGCGCATTTTCACGAAATGGCTAAATTTAGATAATTAGTCGAATAAGGCTGAATAATATATCGTTAATGTAATATAATTTTTATATACATATAATTGTGAACGTACTATGTGTAATTTTTCATAAGACGCGATATGCTGTACACAATAATAACGGTCGCTCCTTATTGTCCACTCGTGACGGAGAGAATACTAATTTTATCTCAACCGCGCAGTTTTAATCTTACGGCTTCTTTTCTCCATAAGAGACGTATATTTTCTCCGGCCCGTTGGTATAATGAAGGTATCGAGGTAAGAGCAGGGCGGCATCTCGCGGGGAGAACATTCCATCATTAAAGTGGATTACTTTTATGCAATTTCGTTGCGTAGCCAGCGGTCTAAGGCGTTACAGTTAGATATGCGCTTTATCGCAACGCGTAAGAGGAGCGCCGCAAACGTCCAGAGGGGGGGAGGGGGAAGGAGAGGCACGTACTCTTGAGAATTTCTTTGCTCATTGTGATTCGCGAAAGAAATAAGGTCTTGTCCGTGCTCTCTTCCTGGTGCATCGCGGCAGAATTTCCCACACCGCTCGCCGCGGCCCAGTTTTGCATAACGCAGGGTCGAAGGAACACTCTCGGATGCCGTACATCGAAACGCATCATAGTGAGTCGGTAGAGTTTTTGAAATTTGATTTGTCGTAAAATATTACCTATTCTTTTCTTTTCGTAGCGCCACTCGTAGCCATTTCATTCGGTTTCCGAATTCTAGATGCATATAAACTTGTAACTCCCTTGCAGTCTCCGCCGTATAATTTTTTTACGTTAGAGACAAAAGGAGACGCGATTTTACAAAAAAAAACCTTACGAGCTCCGATCAACGTCTCTACATACAGAAAAATACATTGCATTCAAGTAAACTCGTTACTAGTTTTTCAAGTATTTTATAAATTTATCTATTCAGAAATCTAGCGTAAGTTTATCATAAGAATCAAATTTATTCAAAACATATTTTGAATTCTAGTGAGTTTCTTTAAATAAAAATATTAAATTAAATAAAAAAATTTAGTTTGCTTAAATTTTATTTGTCAAATTTGATTTCTTCAAATTTATCGCATGCTTAATTTTACTCGCATCTATGTTCTATGAGTACGTATCTGAAAGCTTAATTAGCTCTTCTTACACGTATGTATAAGAAAGTATAAACATAGATCATGATATTCAATTCCTTTCGTAACATTTGAAATGTCAATAACAATAATTAATTGTAAGATCGATCGTAAAATTTACTATTGAAACATATCGTTGTTTTAATTATGGAATACTCTGCAATAATCTGACGAGTGAGAGAGAGAGAGAGAGAGAGAGAGAGAGAGAGAGAGAGAGAGAGAGAGAAGAGAGATGGAATCCTTTTAGCAAACATTCCTTTTAACTGAACTGCAATTAATCGAATTTAAATCTTGAAATAATCACCGTCGTAGCTTGGGAAAAGTGATATTTCTCGAACGAAGAGAAATATCCGTTAAAACACGGATTGGTCGCGAAATTCGCCCCTGCAAACTCGACGGAATTATCCACGTGAGCGTAACGCAGTTCCGTTTACTACGTCCGGTAACATCGTCGTAAACGACTGTGGGTGTCTTGAAGCGCAAATAGAGAGCTGGTGAGAGGACTTGATAGAGGACTGGGATTCTAGAATTATTGGTGGTCGACTGAATGCATACTCGTCCAAATCCGTTGGTTATATGAGAATTCTTAAACATAGTCGTTAAAAAATAAAAATCTTATTAAATTTTAATTATCATTAACTCTGCAATGTATAAAAATGTTATCAATAAGTGTTGTCGGAATACATATCAAATAATTAAATATTCTGTAAAATAATGTAATTGATATTATACTATGATAAACGTTAGATAATTAAGTAAATAATGTAATACACAGTACTCTTAAATGCAAACAAAAAATCGTTCTGCTTTGGCGCGCGCCTATAGTCATGCGACTTTCGTAATAACAACAAAAGCACATGTAGGTACGCGATTTAATTAAAACTATGAGAGTCTTTGAAGTTAAGATGAGCACGCAGATTACGTTGGATAATATTATTCTCCCAGTAATATTCGAAAAATGTCGGACAAGTAATAATTATAAATTATATAATCATAAAATTTGCTCGTAAAATTTATTATTGAAAGATATTGCTGTTTTAATTACAGAAAGTAATATTCTTGCCATCCAGATGAAGTCTTTTTAGCAAACATTCCTTTTAACTGAACAGCATACTTGATCAGATTTCATTTTTTTACAACAGTCACTATCGTAACTTGATCTGTGTCGCGTTATTTTCCCAAATTGATTGGAAAATACTTCTAAATTTCAAAGATAACTATCATATATTTAATTTGTAATCTTTAATTGAAATCTTAGAAGGAAACAGTCGATATCTTCGTGCAGAAGTTTGACATTATTTTTTATTAGTAGTTTATACTGACAGTACAATATCTTTATAACTAATTCTAGATTTTCAAATATTTTTATTACCTTCGTATTAGACATTTCAGGAAATATATATTCAGACTATATATGTTCAGAGTATTTCGCAAGTCATCGATCTGATACTAAATAGATAATTATTCGGCATTATGAAAACATCATGTAACATATAACAAAAAAGCACCGTGAGAGAACCCGAACAATTCTTAAAAATATTTTTAAACAAATATTCGCATTTTGGTTTTTTTTGACAAATATTACTTGAGCCAACAAATATTATTAGAGTCGAAAAACTTAATTAAGTAAAGACGTTATTAGTTCCAACGTGACCCCTTATAAGCGCAAAATCTATGAGCCGTAAAATGCACGCAAGGTACGACTATTCTTTCGAAGTGATGGAAGTGATCGTTCTACCATGGAAAGGTACATGACACCCCAACAAAGCAGTGGTGCCCAATGTATTGAAATATATTTTCCAAATTTGTGTAAAGTATGGTACTAAACAATGATTCTTAAGCGATACATGATAGATAATTAAAAAAACATAAATATGGAAATAAAACTTGAAATATATGAGAAAACCATTTTATAAGGCAGTTATATAGTTTATAATGAGAGAAAGACTTATATATTCTGTATTTTATTGGCTACATATATAATACATTAGGTTTTTCGTGGATAGCGTTTATTCTATTTTAGTTTGACGACGTGTTATTTACGTATCGATAAGTATCGCACAAGCACTTGACGTTATTTCGCATTTCTGTTCATCAATCTTAAAAAGACATACTTTAATTTATTTATAAGAATTTCATTTAACATACACGAATGTGCGTCAATATAAAATATTGTCGGATATATAAAAGTGAACATATATTTTTAAATTAAATAACGCACAGCTTAATGTTATAAATTCAAGAACTAATGAAAATCTGTAAAAATATACGTAACTGCCCATGACAGTATCAGGCATAACAAAGTTATCTTGCTAATTGATATCATATTAGCATTATTACAGAGATCTTCCGTACAGCATGTTGTACCATTTTCTTCACAATCTATATCGTTTGCAAGAATGCATCCACGTGTGACAGTCTGTTTCGAATCGTCTGTTTCTAAAAAAAAAAAAAATGAGAATAATTTATTAGTGTAGATCTTGTTTATTGCTATGCAAGAAAAATATGTCTAAGGTATGAAGCGCAATAAAGTATTAACGCTTGATGTATGTACACACGACGTCATTGATGTACGAATATTCCTTAGATTGAGAATTACACCATTTTTGGCTTTACACATAATACTTGAGATTGCATATCTCATAAGTAGCTCTACTTATAACGACTTTTTTTAACTGTAATGATTTCAATCTTATTCGTATACGCATAAAACCTAAATTCACGTAATTTTCAATCTATGGAATGTTCGATTAATGGCGCTGTGTGTATACAAATGCAATATACTGTTTGAAACTTATTCTTGATTTGTTGCAAAAGAGCCACATCTCTTGAAACATATTATGAGTTATTTTAATATTATATCGATCTACGGACTTTTCCGTAATTATAGTGGGAAATCTATCTGAAACTAATTTTATCATTTTAATATTAGAGGCAACTATAACTTAATACAATAATATAAGGGATAAAAGAGAATCTAAAACCATTGTGTTATTGCACTTTAATAAATATGATGGATATTTTATAATAATAAATGCAATAAATATGAAAGAAAAATTGCGGATTAATAAAAATACTTACTTTTAATGAAACAAGTCCATTTTGGTTCATCAGCTAATGTCCTCAATCCTAGTTTAGCAAATAAGCTTCTACGTACTCTGGGAAAGCTCGGCACAACTAAAAAACACAATTGTATCTATTATGTACTTCGCACAGATTTTCCTTAATGGTAAGATTCAGACAAATTAGCATAATAACTGTAATATTTAATACACATAGGATTACTAGAATCTTTTTATCACATATATTCTGTTTATATATTCATCTACATATAATTTAATTTAATATTACATAAGATATTTTCCTTTCTTGATATGGACTTACGTTTTTCATTCGATGACATCTTTTTCAATAACATTTCTTTTGTCTTCGTGTTTGCTTTTCCTCCTTTACTAATTGCAGAAACTAAATTTTCTCCTTTTCCGTAGGTTCTTTTTTCGGAAGATTTCTCCGTAGGTTCCGTAGGTTCTTCCGTAGGTTCCGTAGGTTCCGTAGGTTCCGTAGGTTCTTCCGTAGGTTCCGTAGGTTCCGTAGGTTCCGTAGGTTCCGTAGGTTCCGTAGGTTCCGTAGGTTCCGTAGGTTCCGTAGGTTCCGTAGGTTCCGTAGGTTCCGTAGGTTCCGTAGGTTCCGTAGGTTCCGTAGGTTCCGTAGGTTCCGTAGGTTCCGTAGGTTCCGTAGGTTCCGTAGGTTCCGTAGGTTCCGTAGGTTCCGTAGGTTCCGTAGGTTCCGTAGGTTCCGTAGGTTCCGTAGGTTCCGTAGGTTCCGTAGGTTCCGTAGGTTCCGTAGGTTCCGTAGGTTCCGTAGGTTCCGTAGGTTCCGTAGGTTCCGTAGGTTCCGTAGGTTCCGTAGGTTCCGTAGGTTCCGTAGGTTCCGTAGGTTCCGTAGGTTCCGTAGGTTCCGTAGGTTCCGTAGGTTCCGTAGGTTCCGTAGGTTCCGTAGGTTCCGTAGGTTCCGTAGGTTCCGTAGGTTCCGTAGGTTCCGTAGGTTCCGTAGGTTCCGTAGGTTCCGTAGGTTCCGTAGGTTCCGTAGGTTCCGTAGGTTCCGTAGGTTCCGTAGGTTCCGTAGGTTCCGTAGGTTCCGTAGGTTCCGTAGGTTCCGTAGGTTCCGTAGGTTCCGTAGGTTCCGTAGGTTCCGTAGGTTCCGTAGGTTCCGTAGGTTCCGTAGGTTCCGTAGGTTCCGTAGGTTCCGTAGGTTCCGTAGGTTCCGTAGGTTCCGTAGGTTCCGTAGGTTCCGTAGGTTCCGTAGGTTCCGTAGGTTCCGTAGGTTCCGTAGGTTCCGTAGGTTCCGTAGGTTCCGTAGGTTCCGTAGGTTCCGTAGGTTCCGTAGGTTCCGTAGGTTCCGTAGGTTCCGTAGGTTCCGTAGGTTCCGTAGGTTCCGTAGGTTCCGTAGGTTCCGTAGGTTCCGTAGGTTCCGTAGGTTCCGTAGGTTCCGTAGGTTCCGTAGGTTCCGTAGGTTCCGTAGGTTCCGTAGGTTCCGTAGGTTCCGTAGGTTCCGTAGGTTCCGTAGGTTCCGTAGGTTCCGTAGGTTCCGTAGGTTCCGTAGGTTCCGTAGGTTCCGTAGGTTCCGTAGGTTCCGTAGGTTCCGTAGGTTCCGTAGGTTCTGTAGGTTCCGTAGGTTCCGTAGGTTCTGTAGGTTCCGTAGGTTCTTCAGTAGGTTCTTCCGTAGGTTCTTCCGTAGGTTCTTCCGTAGGTTTTATGTTGGGATCTGGACATTGTACCTGGGACACTTTGGATAGGTCTTTGGATGGTCCATCTCCACAAGATGGATCGTCCTCCGAGTTGCATATGTAGCATTTAAATGACTTTCCTAACAAACAGAATAAAAGATAAATAGAAAAAAGATATTTTTGCATGTGATCTAAGTAATTAAAATGAAACTAAAAATGTAAGAAAGATTTTATATAATTTATTTTATTTATAATTACAAATTATTTTTCAGAAATTATAGAAAGCTCCTTTTTAGAATAACTAAACAGTAACAACTGAAGAGGCAAATAAGGAATACAGGACGGATATCTTAGTGCTATTAAATACTAATATTATATAATATTAATATGATAGTGGGAGGATAATTATGTCCAGCATGTCAAACGCACGTATCGAAATTTTTCTTCGATTAACGTTCGCGACGAATCTACCTTTTATACTTAGACCGATCCTTGAGTCCCAATTTTATATATATATATTTAAAATTCCCAAAACCCATTAAACCGATGACTCAAATAGATTCATTATATATGTTGCGAAAAAACTGCCTCCGCCAGGACACGAACCTGGAATCTCCTCACTTTCCGGGCGGAGGCAGTTTTTTCGTAAATATATAATGAATCTATTTGAGTCATCGGTTTAATGGGTTTTGGGAATTTTAAATATATATATATAAAATTGGGACTCAAGGATCGGTCTAAGTATAAAAGGTAGATTCGTCGCGAACGTTAATCGAAGAAAAATTTCGATAC